CCGTTGACCCAGCAAACACACGACGGGGACATAGTAAGAAAAATTTCAAGCTCAGAGCACACATTAATTAGACAAATTTTTTTCTCATTTTGAGTGGTGGCTGCTAGAATGACCTCCCTCGGACGGTTGTCCACGCTCCTTCTAGAACCCAGTTTAAAGCACTATTAGATATTTATTTATGCGAATCCTCGCGCTGGCATGCATGCTGCCCCGCGCTGAGAACATAAAGAGCAGTGTTACACTTTTTTCACTTGTGCCTTTCAGGTGAACGACAGCCACTGACCGACAAGAACAAAACCTACCCGAGAAACTTGGGCAAAAGCCTCGATCCTGCGTATCGATCCGTGATCCATGATATTTGCGGATGAAGTTGGGGCACTAATTCCGTTGACTGAGAGGGAAGTAAGCGTGTCTAAGTGACTTTTGTGTCGCAGATAGATTGTAATGGGTCAGGAAAACTGCACCGACGATGGGCATTTGGACGTCGGCCAAAGGGAAGATCCACTTGAACGCACGTCGCAATCCGAGGTCAAGGGTGAGGAAACGTTCGCCGTATGTAGCGATGCGGGCACCGTTGGCGGCTTGTAATGAGAATGAGGCAGAATCGGGAAGTGGATTCTTATGTGGTAGCACACTAAATTCAGCTCCCGTTTCTACGAGGAAAGGTAGACCACTTGAACGACCGGTGATGTGGAACAGACGACTAGTGCGAGGAGGGCCACAGACACTCGTCGCCGTTACTGACTGGCCGGGGTGTTTAAAGGGGTGTTGGAACGCGGCTTGAAGGAACAACGTGGTTGACACTTGTGTGTTTTTGGGCCATAAGATTGGTGATACCAGCACCAAGAGGGACAGACACCAGATAACGATCTGGATCGTGAACGTGGTCGATGCCTGTTGATCTCTAACCGTTCAGCAAGAAGTCAGCAGGTCGCCCCGAAAAATTGTGTATTCGTAACATTAAAACAAATGTCATGATACAATTTGAACGACAGTTACAGAGTGTGGTTCAAGTTAAGGAAGAATGGTAAATGTGACAACGGATTACAGATACTACAGACCTATCCAAGATTCGAAAATTGTTGTCTATCACAAATGTTCACTTCAATCATGAAAGTCTTCTCACCGAGCCCTCGAAATATCACGGTGAGATAAGTTGAGGAAGACCCTGTTCACGCCAGGCGTAAAAAGTATCAGGCACCCTTCCAGGCGATGATTGTCAATGGAAAGAGTTTAAGAATCTCCATACGCGTTTCGTAATCAGCGGATCGGTGTTCGGCACCTGTCGTTGTAGCCCAGGTTACTCCAGATAGCCCAGGGTTACTCCCCCAACGCCCTGATGGTCAATCTTGGTTGGCGCATTCAAGGAGTAATCGGACGTAGATTTTACAGAGCGCTTGAAAGTACATAAATGGGTCACAATGCGCGATATATTATCTGAAGGAGGATGAACGGATTTTGGGTTTCTTTTACAGAGTGTACTGGTCTGGCTACCCGATGATTTACTTCACTAGGAGTGTGTGGTGAAAAAATAAAAATAATAACACTAGATTGGGTATACAATAATAAAGAGGTCAGAAGGATCAGACTCACTAATAATTGTTCTCTTTAAAATAGTTCGTCGTTGGTCCAGGTCAGCGAATAGACAATAATTCATTCATGGTGGTCCAGGGGTCTTCTTCTGAACATTTCCCACATGTAATAGATTCCGAAGATGGTCTGAAATGTTTTGATACCAGAGTTAGCACTTGAGACTCGCGGATGACCGCTGCAAGCGCGAGCGAAATCAGAAGAGCTAGTCGAAGCAAATGGTCATGTTTGTATTGCGTGAATCTTGTACAAGTGCGCGTTTTTGTAGTTTTTCGTATTCAAACAAAAACGATTATGCAATTGACCAAGTATGTAGTGTTATAATGAAAGCAAAACAAAGATACAAACACCACAGCAGGACGTGCTGGCAGGAATCCGGGTACATGAAACCTCTATGAATTCGGACTCATAATATTTTCTGGCCCATTTTTACCCTCTGCAGAAGAGCGCATGCTGATTCTTTCTGCGCAGACGCGTAGACATTGTTTTTTTTTTGGTGGGGGGTGCCATTCCAGTGACCGCTGTTTTGTGGCGTCGACATCCACTTAGGTGAAGTTAGCGTTGGAATTCCACGGTTTTGCTTCGTCCGCTGAAGGTGGATAGACGTGAAAAACATCCGGAAAAGGTTTGGCGGCGATCAAGGAGAAGGATGATCCTATAATTGGGTTTCGATTAACTCCAGCGGAGACCGGTGGAGAGTAGATTGATTCCTTTTTGCTTCGGATACAACCACTGGGCCACTCATATTTCTCCGGTTCTGTCCCTTATAGAAACAGCCGTTTGTTTTTTTTTCTGTCCNAGACTCACTAATAATTGTTCTCTTTAAAATAGTTCGTCGTTGGTCCAGGTCAGCGAATAGACAATAATTCATTCATGGTGGTCCAGGGGTCTTCTTCTGAACATTTCCCACATGTAATAGATTCCGAAGATGGTCTGAAAAGTTTTGATACCAGAGTTAGCACTTGAGACTCGCGGATGACCGCTGCAAGCGCGAGCGAAATCAGAAGAGCTAGTCGAAGCAAATGGTCATGTTTGTATTGCGTGAATCTTGTACAAGTGCGCGTTTTTGTAGTTTTTCGTATTCAAACAAAAACGATTATGCAGTTGACCAAGTATGTAGTGTTAAAATGAAAGCAAAACAAAGATACAAACACCACAGCAGGACGTGCTGGCAGGAATCCGGGTACATGAAACCTCTATGAATTCGGACTCATAATATTTTCTGGCCCATTTTTACCCTCTGCAGAAGAGCGCATGTTGATTCTTTCTGCGCAGACGCGTAGACATTGTTTTTTTTTGGGGGGGGGGTGCCATTCCAGTGACCGCTGTTTTGTGGCGTCGACATCCACTTAGGTGAAGTTAGCGTTGGAATTCCACGGTTTTGCTTCGTCCGCTGAAGGTGGATAGACGTGAAAAACATCCGGAAAAGGTTTGGCGGCGATCAAGGAGAAGGATGATCCTATAATTGGGTTTCGATTAACTCCAGCGGAGACCGGTGGAGAGTAGATTGATTCCTTTTTGCTTCGGATACAACCACTGGGCCACTCATATTTCTCCGGTTCTGTCCCTTATAGAAACAGCCGTTTGTTTTTTTTGTCCTAGCCTTGTTAGTCTAAGTTCAAAACTTCTATAGGACAAGATAAGTTAACTCCCAGCTTTTTTCCAGATAATGCCGAATTTTTGCTTTGATAGCTCTGAAATGGTATGGAGCAGGCTTGCTGTCGCATCCCTCCGATGTCTTGCCCACGAAAGTACCTTTGGAGTTGCTAATGGTTATTCTGAAGTATTTCCATGGTTTCATGTCTGCACAAATATTTTACAATGGCACTTAGTATCGCAACGACATCGTAGAAGAATGCTTGCCTTTACCGAGACTTCTCAATTGGCGGCATCTTCCGCCGGTACCTTTGAGTAATGTGAATTTTTCGCTTTTCGCTGTTTCATACGAGCGTCCGAATTCAGTTCGGTTGTCAAGTACGCAGTGTGTACAACTGTCTTTCGTATACATGCCGAAACCCAAGCCCACGACAGACCGCGCTTTTGACATTGTTCTTGCTGAGGAACGTGACAATTTACTATACCTCGATACACGGTGACTCCCAAGGTATCACTTGCTCATAACGCCTCATTGATGCCGTGACTATGTTATCACTCTGAGTTTACTAAGCAGTGTATGGCAACCTATCGCAGTTTGAAAACGCAAAACACATGGCGACCGGGTATTGAGCAAGGAACTCAGACTCTCGTTTTATGGACGAAATTTCTTACTTCTTTCACAGGAATGATTGGTTCATTTTACCGTAGCGCAAAAATCTTGTAAATAAATCTGTTACTTTGCTTGATTCGTTTTAGGCACTGTTGTGCGTCCGACACAAACACCAAGGTTTGCGATTAAGCAAAGCCTTAACTCTCCCGTGCTGAAATTGGACTGTTCGGCGCTAAGGTAGAGCTCACTATGCTTAAGAATACTAAGGGAAATGGACCAAAAATGTGCCTAGAATGCTGTGAAAACGAGTGACTCACGTTTTGAGGCACACTTAGGGAGGCGTTTATATTGATGTCGGATTATCGAGTGAATTAGTTATTAGCTACTTACGACATTCCAGTAATGAAACGAAAGGATATGTTCGGCGGTCATCTCCAGTTGTTCTGTTGGCTACCCTACTTTCATTATTTCAGGTCTACAGGGTTAATTTGGCGCACCGGAAACTGAGCTCTGAACGTTCTGTCCGAATGTGAATCTGGACACAGATTCTTCTGAGGTTCAAAAAGTCACGAAATTGTCAGGCACTACTCTGGGCACCCAGCTTTATCCAAACATGACACTGGTTTCGAAGTGACGAAAGTGACGTTTATTACTCTGTTGAAGTGCGAACATCACTCACTGTAGTCAGATATTTTCTTTCAAATTTTGTTCGTTTGTCACGCATTTGGGGTGTAAATATGTTTTTTATCCATATGCCTGCTAGGAGATCATCATGTGTCCACTCTCTAATCATCGACGTTAACTGTGATGATGGCGATATATTACGGCGTCTCAGAATACACGGATATCTGGTTTTATCTGCGCGGCCTCCAGGATTTAATTTAGTCGCACCGCACTCTTATTGGTGCACTGAACGGCGATTGCCATCTTGTCGCAGTTTGGTCTCACGTAATAACCTTTTTCTACTGCAAATTTCTCTCAAAATGAAACCAGACAAGCACCGTCCCTGCTGTTTCTGTCCCATAATTACAAAGTGCCTCCTATTTAACAATAACAATCGCAAACTTAACACCTGCGCACAACAGCGTGCACGATTTAACATCATAGAATGCTTAGGTGACCACAGTTATTCTTGTTAATATTTTTGCGTGTCAGAAAATTGGTTAATTACTACATTTTACGGACTGCTGGAGTGCCAACTCATGGTTGAACATTTACCACGAACACCGCCACATTATAAGTATTCTTTCTCATTCGAAAGACATACCACTGCTTTGATTTCGGGAATTCACGAGGTGAAACCAAACAAAGATAATAATGAAAACAGACTCTCACGCTATTTGGCGAAGCTGGAAAACCCCCCACTTGAATGAGATGCTAGCAAAAATAGGCATTGGACCACTAGACCGTAGTATTAGACCACCAGCTGAGCGTGAGCTTTGGACGTTTCTGGCAAGGATTCACTTGAGCCCCAGTCGGACTGTAAGAGCCTCTGCCTGCACTTTAGGAACGTGATAATTCGCAACGCTCGTTGCTAGAACCCAACCTCAACAAGGGTAGGTGTTGCAGCCAACTCCATTTTTAAACCACGGATTTAAGCATAGAATGACGAGTGTATTGCCTTCAGGCCATTTGTGGCAAAATTAGCTACTGCCTATGGCTAGTCTCAGGCCTTTACAAAGCCATGCGGCTACCAGTTGGTCGAATTCACCAGCCGACACTACACCCATCTTAAATCAGAATAGCGACGTTCATGTGCTAAAACAATTTGGCTGCCAGCGTGACGCCAAATTGATAACCTTCCCAAATTTAATTTTGAAAAAGGTGTCATGAAATACCATTGCAGGCAAGAGATTTGTTTAAGCAGTGGAATAAAATATATGCTGGACTTTTCGTGTCTAAGCAAAGGAAGGTTTCGATTGAAAATTGACTTCGCGACACCGAGACAAACGAGTTTTACGGTAAAGTGGGATATTTGTTCATCCCATGGTTCAGCTTGAAGCCTTGAACTATATTTTGAACCCAGGATGAGAACGTGTGCCAGAAAACGACGAGACCGGCTAGGTTGTTTACGCCCTTTCAAGCACATGTTTCTGTATCGACTCTTGCTGATTCGTACAAAATCCTGACATACTGGAACAGCCTGCTTCTAGAAAGAGGAAACTGTGATTTACTATGCCTTTTATAGATCACTGGCGGATGCCCAACTGTTCAGAAGCTGTCCACAGTTCAAGCCCCCTCAGACACTAGGCACATACGGTGCATAACACTAGTTGAGAACAAATATCTAATCTCATTCAATTCCTGCTCAACTATAACCATTCATCCACTCAAAGACAAAACCACTGTATTCTTAAATCGATTCAGTCTGACAAGTTGAGTGTTTGATCGTATTCTGTCATCTGCGAGTTTGTTTCGCGTTCTTGATATTGAGCTGCACCTTCACTATCATCACTAAAAAAACATTCCTGGTTTATTGGAATAGTCTCTGTTTATGAAGATAAAATAAAATAAAGTAGGGTTACTTTTGACGGCAAAGATACATTCGAAATAGAATAGGTGAAATGCGTTTGTTTAAAATAGTTGTTTATGTTGCTGGTGGGAAGGGAACAGAACTCTAGTTTTCAGTATTTGAGGGCTCTGTCCTGGGAGGGCTCACATCAAGGACTGGTCCTCTTATTAATGCTTTTTTATAAGTGAAATACACCTGATCGCTTATACCAACAGCAGTTTCTCCAACCGAATACATGTTTGTTGTAACTGTTCGCCATGGCTGTCTTCTACGGTGCAATGGTGTCTTTGCAGAAAGGCCACGCTCAAGAGAGGACATCACTAACAAGACAATACGACTGATCGATATTTGGTACTTTGTCTAGGTTTCGGTCCCCCTCAGCAAAGACAAATTTCGGTTGGTCCATTTAAGATGCCTGTGGGAAGTAAGGTATTATCATCGCCCCTTTCCTGTCGGTTACAAGTGAACCAGGAGGTAAGTGATTGCGGACAGAGTGTAGGGGGGATTTAACATTACACGTGCGTTTCGACTTCAAAGAGACCACTGTTCTCATAAGGTAGGGTGGTCATTGTTCGACCCCAGTCCAGCCGATGGAATAATTCACGCCAAGGTTTATGAACAAGATTCAAGAGGAAATTTCATTTGCTTGCGTTAAAAACCTATGTTAAAAACCATGATCTGCTATGTTTTGGTAAAAAAGCCGGGAAAATTATTCGAATCCCATGCTTTGCAAGAGTTCATGGGAAACGACTGACAGAGTTAACGACTAACACTTGCACAAGGAATTGTCAGTTTTGAATCCTCTCCGGAGTCAGCTCGCACGCAGTTTCCGAATGATCTAAAACCTGTCTAACCCAGCTGACCTGCCTCAGCAACGCTAGAAAATGAGAAACCAGAGCGGTGTTGAATCTTCCCATCTGAATTCGGACAAGAATGTTCGTAGCAATGACTGCGAGTTGGACAAATAAGTCAGCTGCACTTATATACACATTACACAATCGTATGGCTGTCAAGAAGACAAAAATTTGTTGGCTAAACTCTTGAATATTGCCAACCATCCGGGTCTCTTGTTCTCTTTTGGTGAGAGGCCTGGGTAAATTCAGTCGTACAACAACTACTGTCTACAACGATTGTAAACAGAAGGATATTTTCATAAAAGAAACCACTCACAAGGTTGCTGAAAACTCCTTGACAGCCCGCGACCGGTTTCGCGCTTCTTGGAACCCATCAAATAGACGCAGTCCCCGAGTTTTCGTAAACCTTATGTTCTACTTGTTGTTGTTCCATTAATGTTGTGTTTTTATCCCACGTTATGAACAGCACTCAAGAAAATAACCATTTGGTGCACCGCTGGTTTGCACAAAATAAACTAAGTTTACATAAGAGTCGAAGAGGGGTTACGCTGGAAAGCAACCTCAATGACTATGGATAATTTATGTGATTTTGGCACCAATTGAAGTGGAAATCGAAATCACTTGCACGTAGGTAGGTTCTAGGTTGGGTTTAAATGGTTTGTGCTTTGGAAGGAACAGACAAAGTTCATAACTGACGCATACAGAGGCTACCTAACTCATCAATTACCCAAGTGGCTTGCTTTGAAGAACACTTTTTCACAAAACAGATTGCTGCACGTGTTTTTGTTCAAGGACATAACATCTTGAGGGAAACTGCTCCTGTGGTTATTGAAAACTTTTCGACAGCCGACGACAGGGGTTCGTCCACTGATCCGAGTTTTCGTCAGCTTTATGTCCTACTTGAACGCAAATTGTACAAAATTTGCGAATTACACACATTCACATACCAATTTGGTCTAGATGAGAGACTCAAGTAAAACAGCTGAAGCAAAAGGCAGCCTTCACTCAACGCATTCAGTTAAAGAATACATAATCGCAAGCTTCAACTGGGATTAATTTGAGCTTCCAGTTAAAACCAAAAAAGTGTATCCTTTTTGTCATTTTTTTCTGAAGGCTGTAGCACTTGCATAAGGACAGTCGTAAAATTTGCGACTTATCTGTGAACGTATCGGACAGAAGCAAACTGAAAGGCATTTCACACGAATTCGACGTCTATATTTCTCTGGGAGATGTGGGACTATGCATAGATCCTGGTCGTGATAGCGTATTTGCCTTGTATTACCTGCATAATCATTTTTAAGAGGTTCAAGGGTATTCTGCCAATACCGTGTACTTTTATTTATCTACGGAGTGAAGTTATTTAAAACAAGTACCGATTTTCTGTCGTTTACTCCATAATTACACGTCACGTGCTCGTTCTTTCTCCCACTCATACTGCGTGTATACGAGCGCGAAACTTTAATTTGAAGAAAATACGATCTGC